TACCTATGATCAATCAATGTGTTTCCACAGCAATCGTACGGGGAGATACGAATGGGAAAGAAGGGCAAGAAAACGGGACCACGCAGAAGGCGAGCAACCTAATATGCTCGTATGTTTTGAGCACTTCCATTTTCTCTCCCGCTTTCTCTCTTCAGTTCCTTTTTGGGTCATAAGAATAGGAACCCTCCTTACAGAAAAAAGCATCGAAGAAGAGAAAAATTTCTGATCTCCTATAAGCGTTCGAACTCGCTTTTCGCTACACGCAAATCATGTCAATTAGGGAGAAAAAGAAAAAGACCTTTTTTCTATAAAATTTATGCTTGAAAATGAGCTAAAACTAACACAGCCTACTTTCAGCGAAATCAAAGTGTACTGCATGATTATATCTGCAAATCCTATTTAGCGTACACCCTTATCCTTTCTAAGCCTCTCTCGAAAAAGCAGGTACTTCAACCGAACCACCATCGCAGGATAATAGCACTGCCTGCAAAGAACTATCTAAAAATCCAGTCAATGGAGTAATGGCACTATAGTATTTATTAATTGGCAGTTCCTGTGCTAAAAGAAATCAACATGAAGCAATATGTATTTGCAAGGCATAACAAACAACAAATATGACAGTTCAACAAAAATTAACAATCATTAACAAGAAAAAAGTGATAAACGTTTTTTGAGACAAAGAACTTTAATCTAGGACATGAAACGCATTCATTTCTTTACAGTTACATCTAATGGATATCTATAACCAGAATAATCGATGTTTTTTATTACTTCTATTTCACTAATTGCTACCGCAATTTGGACAACTTTGCTGGATTTCTCTTTCGTGACATGCTTTTCCGTTTGGTAGATTTTTTCGGCTCCTTTTCCTTGGCTTCATCCTCATCAACTCAAAAAGATATGAGGGTTTTTATGATTTCTAAAATAATACGAATAGAAGATATACCTACCCAAACACCTCTTTTCCTCCCTTGAAGGAACCTCCTCACGAACCGATTTCGCCTGGACCTTTTTATCGGTTTCATCACAATCATGCTGAAAAAGAAACATCGTGATGTATGTTAAACAGCCAAAGCCACATACCTCCATTGCTTCTCTAGCCACATTTTGTACAAGTTTTGTCCACTCCACAATAAATTGGTCCAATTCAGCATCCTTGAAAAGTTTCAGGCCTCTCTAAACATTTAATTTAAGGTAATAGGTAGAGAAGCAGGATAAGATATATTTGAGCATGATTTATGGCACATGAGACAAATGCAGTAATACATTCACCTATGAGGAAAATAAAAAGCAGCTCATAACGCGAATCGTGCATATTTCCAATTTGTGAGCACCTGAGGAATAGAAGTCTACCTACTGGATGGAAGGGAAAGAGTTTGTTTCGAACTACTATTGCCTCGCCTATTTCCTGCTTCAACTACTGCGGAAAACCTTGTCATTTAGTCTTTTTTGGCGGTGTACCATTCACTTCATCTAACACTTACGTATCTAGGTTTGTTTTGTCACAATGGAGCCGACTAATAGCGCAAAAATAAAATTTAAAAAAAAACAATGGTTAGCTGAGAATTCAACAAAATAGGAAAACCCATCTACAACCCTTTGAATTTAATAAGTGATCAGTCAGACCTAGAGGCATCTGGACAATTGAACTAGATATCTGATGTAAATAAACAATACACTGAGAAGCAACAAACCTGATGAATTACATGGAACTTTGGAATGTCATATTTCAAAGCCCACTTCGCATATAAGATCACTGCTTCAACCGTAGCACATTCCTCAATGATAGCTGAATTCAAAACAAATCCTGCTAACTTAATGTCCGGGTTTGCATGTTCCAGTTCTTTTCGATGTACATGACAGTAGAACTCGGAGCTAAAAAACAGGATCAACTTCCACATAGGCAAACAGTCATCTTTAAATCGTACCTATTAGGTTTGCTGTTTACGAGCTCCATCAGTCTATCCTTTAATTGCATTGCTGTGATTACTCCATCAAGAAACAGCTGGTTTAGATAGTCCACAAAAAGTATTTTGATTTTTGACGTAACAGGTGTAACTGAATGTTTAATCGCTTCGTGGAAAA